CCCTCCTCCCCTTCCTTCCCCCCCCACCCCACTCTGGGTCTAGATGGTTGTCTACTTTCACCTTTTGTCTTTCCCTGGAGAAAATCAGACACCAGTCTCTGCATCTCCCAATTTCTGAGGAATACCTATCCAGCTCACCAGAGGCTTGGCTTGAGGAGAGAGGGGGAAGCCACAGCACACTGAAAGTTCTCTCCAGAGGAGTTCTCACTCTCCAGGCACTCAACCCCAAGATGAATCCTGTTCCTCTTCTTTTTTTTTTTTTTTTTTTTTTTTGAGTTGGAGTCTCACTCTGTCGCCCAGACTGGAGTGCAGTGGCTGCTCCCGGCCACCGCAGCCTCGACCTGCTGGGCTCCGGCGATCATTCCGCCTCAGCCTTCCACGTAGCCAGAATTACAGGCATGCGCTACCACGCCCGGCTGATTTTTTGATTTATTGTAGAGATGAGGTCTCGCTGCCCAGGCGGGTCTCGAACTCTCGGGCTCAGGCAATCCACTCACCTCAGCCTCCCAAAGGCGTGGAATTACAGGCTGAGCCACCGAGCCCAGCTCTGTTCCTCTTCTTATGCAGCCCAGATGCAGGAGATGGGCTGATGCTGGTAGAACTGGTGTAATTTCCTTGTCTCTTAGCATTGGAGGTCGCCTGATGCCTGTGGAATTGTTCTTGCCCTTTGGGGCTTGAGCTGGTGTTGAGTCAGAAGGAGTCTCATTTTAGCATCCTGAAATCTCATTGTTTCTCTAACTGCTTTTTGGGACAATAGTTCTGCAAGAATTTAATATACTTTATGAAAAAAGGGCTCTGAGGTCAAATGAATTTGGGAAAGGCTCCACTCTACATTCCCCCCTCCCTTTTTTTTGAGTGGCACACTCACGACCACCCCAGCGCCGACCTGCTATGCTCAGGCGATCCTTCCGCCTCAGCCTGCCAAGTAGCTGGAACTACAGATGCGCACGACCCACACCACCTAATGTTTTGATTTATTGTAGAGACGAGGTCTTGCCAAGTTGCCCAGGCTAGTCTTGAACCCGTGGGCTCAAGCAATCCCTTCACCTTGGCCAGCTTGAGCCACCATGCCCAACCTACATTCCCCTTTCTGAGAAGTCCTGCAAGGAAATCTATTTAACTTTGCTTGGCCCAGTGTTTTTGGTAACTAAAGGAACAACTTTTTGCACAAATAAACACATATATACCTTTGGGAAACAGAGATAAAACATCGTTTGATGACACCAGCAGCCAAAGCTGCTCTGTCTTTCCATTTCCCCCATTTGCTGTGTAATGTTCAGAGAATTGGCCTGAGCTTTCCCAAGGGATATTTAGTCATAGGAAAAGAGAGGAAGCAGAGTGTCCATCTGGAGAAGGTTGAGGAGGACAGAAGTGTTGTCTGCACATCTCTGAAGCACCGTCAAGAACATTGTTCCAGTGGCTTCTGGATGGGCACATGGGGAGGCTGAAGGGAAGCAACAAGTCTCAACAGAAGTATCTAGAGCTGGAGCAGGCTGACTCAGGAGCAGTTGTCTCCCTGACACTGGAGGTGCAAACAGATGCTAGGAACCAAACACGAGGCGTAGGTGCCTGGGCAGTCTTCTGTTCCTGGATTTGTGAAGTCATAGATAAGAGAGTTCTTAAGTAAAGAAGCTGCACAAGTGCCCAGGCAGTCTGTTCTCTCCGGCCACAGGCACACTGATCGAGGCCCAGGGCCCAGTGACATGGTCTCTCATGATGTCTCATGATGTCTTTGTTTTCAGGATTTAGCAGCAACAGCAGCCGGGCTGGTTGAAGCGCCCGTCACCACTGCCAAGGAAGCAGAGGCCAGTGGTGTGCCCACTGAAGGGTCGACCCTCCCCATGTCCACCCAGAACCCTGGGGAAGGGGTCACTCCAGTAAGTAGCTCAGAATGCATGCTCCTCTTTACCTGTTTCTGAGGGCTGGACATCATCTCGGGTGGGAGCAGTAACTGACCTTCCTCATCTGTCTGCACAGTGCAGAGTGACCATCGTGTGGGGCTGAGTAGGCCTGGAGCAGGAGGCTGAGGCGTGTATACACTCATCCAGTGATGTTTGCAGAGACTCTGAACTGGGCACTGGGCCTGGCTGTGGGGACTGACAGTCAATAGGATAGAGCCGGTTCTTGGGGACAGGGTGGTGAGAGATGCTAGAACCCAGGCCTGGGTGTCAAGGAAGACTTCCTGGGGAAGGATGACAAGGGTGAGCCCAGGAGGATGGGTAGAAGTAGCGTGGCAGATGGGGGTGAGACAGGTGTTCCAGGCAGGTAAGATGGCAGGAACAGAGGCCTGGAGGCATCAGCAGGAGCCTAAAGAGGCTGGGGGCAAGAGAATTGCTGGAGTCCAGGAGTTCGAGACCAGCCTGGGCAACATAGTGAAACTTCGTCTCCACAAAAAAATCAAAATTAGTTGTATATGGTGGCATACCTGTAGTCCCAGCTACTCGGGGTGCTGAGATGGAAGGATCGCCTGAGCACAGAGGTTGAGTCTGCCATGAGCTGTGATTGTGCCACTGCACTCCAGCCTGGGCAACAGAGTGAGACCCTGAATCAACAAAACAAAACAAAAAACAGGAGGCCTGAGGAAGTGCAGCATGCCTGCAGGGTTAAGGGGTGGAGGATGTGACTGGAGAGACCTCGAAGACCACAGAGAAGATTCAGCAGAAGTGGGGAGCACCGAAGGGTATGAAGCACGGAAGTGATGTAGACAGATTCGAATTCCAGAAAGATCACCCTGACTAGTGAGTGGAGAAAGGGTGGGGGGATGTGAGCCTGGAGAAAGAGGTGGGCTCAGGGGCTGTGTTGGCGTAAAGATGAGTGGTGGTGTTATCTTGCTCTGAGGTCTGGTCAGCAATATCGGATCCTGCCAAAGAACTCACAAGTGTTCATTGACTTTGTAAACGTGACTGTGGGTGACCTTGGAGAGGGCAGTTTTAGGGCTGTAGGAGGGGTAGAAGCCAGATGACGCTGGGCTGAAGAAAGAATGAGACAGGAAGTGGTCCTAGAGTGTAGACAACTCCTTCAACAAGGAAGCTATGGTGCCCGAGGACCTGGGTTTTTGTCCTGACTCAATGACTGAAGCACCAGTGGAAGCTGTACTCTCAGGTCAGGGGACAGAGGTCAGAAGGGACTGTGGTGAGCACATGACCCATGGGGTTGGTAGGGATGGGCTGGGTGCACCAACCACACAGGTGGGATGCCGGGTTGGGACTTGCACTTGTGGAGTTTTGTGCAGTTGCTGCATCAAGGGTAGTAATGTGAGGGTGCAAGTGCTTTGAAAGTGAGGGAGGGGCAGGATGCGGGGCAGGGGCATGGCTGGCCAGCTGCTCCAGCACAGTGTGGTGGATTGGGGTCAAGGGACTCTGATGTGGCCTGTGTTATTTTTCTATTCAGGGTCCAGATCATGAGGAAGGGTTAGCAGCAACAGCAGCAGGGGAGGTCGAGGTGCCCACCGGCACTGCCGGGGAACCAGAGGCCAGCAGTGTGCTCACCGTAGAGCCAGCCCTCTCTATGTCCACCCAGAAGCCCGAGGAAGAGCCCACTGTGGTAAGGATCGCACAGTACTGGGAGCTCAAGTTCATGACTGGGAGTAGCCACTGACTTCTTGGAGTGTGGGGCTCCATTCTACTCAGCAAACCCAGAGGATCCTGGAGGTTAGGGGGTACCTCTCTGGCTCAGTCCAGGCTCGCGAGTGGAGATTGCCAAGGTCTGGGTAAGTGTATGGTGATGCCACTAAAAGCCAGTGGGGAGTGAGGCCTGGCAGGGGGACAAAGGAGATGGGGTGAAGCAGAGAGGTGGGGGCGAGTGCCAGGGCTACATCCAGGGCCCTGCTGCCTCCACCAGCAGGGGTCAGCAGGGCTCAGCAACCAGAGGATGGTGGGCTGAGTGGAAGAGGAAGGGTGATGGTGGTCACAGGAGGTTGTGTGAAGGAGTGGGGGTCAGGGTGCAGGCAGGCAGGCCCCGGGGGGCCAGAGGGCACAGCCAGGCCTTCTCAGCTCTCTTCTCATGCAGCGGAGAGACACTACCCAGCTGCAACAGGCAGGACACACACATTCCAAGACACTCGGCAAGTCTGTCCCTCTCACGGATGCCCACATGTTCTTCCAGGTCAACAGTCAGACCCCAACTCCTCATTTCTAAACCCCCCATTTCCACATTCTCACCGGAAATGTGTGGAACTCTCATCCCCCAGTTTCCCCCAGTTGCCTAATCTAGAATTCTCTGTAACTCCCACATCAACAAATATTGCTGTTGATTTTTCTGCTTTGAACTGCCTGTCACTATGCCCTCCTCCAGTGTTGCCCCTTGCACTTAGCCGTCTCGTCCTTAGCCCAGGCGATTGCTGAGGCCCTGCCTGGCCTCCTCCTCCAGTCTGGGTTGTCAGCGCTCTTCTTGGAAGCTTCCCATCACCCTTCCCTGCAGACTCGGCTCCCTCACCTGTCCTGAAGGGCCTTGCAGGGGCTAGCCTGTCCAGCCTGGCTGTCCACCTCTGGGGCCCCCTCTCTGTCCCGCTCTTGGTGCTTCAGCCTCTCTGACCTCAGCTTCTCAACCATGCCTCCTTTCCTCTTGCTTCGCCATCCTCCCATCCCCTCTCCTCTCTGCTGATAACCTTTCTTCCTCCTCCCCTCTTTTTAATTCTTGCTTAATTCTTCAGAATTCTACTCAAACGCTACTTCCTGGAAAAGGTGTCATCTCAGACGGTAATGTCTCCTCGTCCTTGTGCTTGGAAGGCCTCATCATAATTGTAGTTAATAATATATGTGATAAACCGTTCCTGTCTGGCTCTCTACCAGAATGCAAGCTCTGTGAGGGCAGGGATTTCAGATAAGTATTTTGTTCTCTGACATACTACATTCCTGACAGAGGGTAGGCCCTGAGTGAATATCTGCCCAGTAAGTAAATGGTCAGGATCATCAGGCCATCACAGATCTATAGCCCGGACCTTTGAGGTCATTGCTCCCTCGTCTGTCTGTGTGGGTCAGGCAGTCATCCAGCACTAGCCTGGGTCCATGCTGCAGACCTTGCAGGAGCCTGGAGGTTAGGGGGTACCTCACGCCTGTAATTCCAGCACTGAGGGAGGCTGACAGGGCATGCAGGGGACAGGGCATGCACTGACCAGCTGACAGCTTAGGACACGTGGCCGTTAGATGGATGCTTTCAGGAACAGAGTGATCTTCTCCTTCTCCCTCCTCTTCTATTTCTTTTCCTCCTCCTTCTCCTCCTCCTCCTTCCCACTTTTTCTCCCATTCCCATCCCTTCTTCCTCCCCTCCCTCAGCCCTCCTCCCCTTTATTTAAAGGCAAAGCACTTACAGCAAGGTGGGAAAGCCAGACTCAAGTCCCAGGCCTACCAAGTCTTAGTTTTGTAGAAACTAGACCTTGACCAGCAGAGCTGTCTGAAAATAGAAGGGCTGCCTGCAGAGGGTGAGCTCCAGTTTCTAGAGGTGTGCTGGAGGGGATTCTGGGGTGGGCGGGGAATGCCCAGAGAAGAGTGTTCTAACCCTGGAACCCCAGGAATCTGTGGGCAAGGCGTGGCCCTGATGAGCAGAAGAAATGGAGTACTAGACCCGCCAGTTCTCTGAGGACCCCATGGTTTCTTCCGGGCAGCCACACACCCACGGCACCAGGGATGTGGATGAAGGGGCCCGATCCCTCATGCCAGTTTTTTTTTTTCAGGATCCAAACAGTGAAGAAAGTCTAACAACAGTTGATGCTGCAACTGAAGGACCCCTTGGCACTTTCGAGGATGAGGAGGCCAGCGGAGTCCCCACAGACGGCCTGGCTCTTCTCACAAGCACCACGGCCCCCGGGCATGTGGTCACTCCCGTAAGTATCATCTGGTGTCCTCTCTGGTTCACAGGGGAGAGACAGGTCCACCTCACGAGATGGAAGCTGCCACGAACCTTCGCAGAGGCACATACATGCCCAGCCTCCTTAGGCGTGCATATCTGGGAGGGTGCCAGCTGGAGGGAGGCAGGATGCAATGCCAGGAGCATGACAGGGGCCAGGCATCAGGTTTTGTCCCAACCCTGCTACCTCCTAGCTTTGTTCAAGAAGAACTTTCTCAGAGGACAATGGTCCACAGTTGGAAGGGGTTGTTGGTGGGAGAGCTGAGCCTTAGAGGAGATGTGCATTTCAGAAGGGGATGTTGCCAGGTGCTCATGCCTGTAATTCCAGCACTTAGGGAGGCTGAGGCGAGAGGATTGCTTGAGCCCAGGAGTTTGAGACCAGCATAGGCAATGTAGTGAGACCTCATCTCTACAAAAAAAAAAAACAAAACATTAGGCGGGGTGGTGCGTGCCTATAGTCCCAGCTCCTCAGGAGGCTGAGGCGAAAGGATTGTCTGTATCCAGGAGGTCGAGGCTGTGGTGAGCTGTGATCAAGCCATTGCACTCTGGGGTGATAGAATAAGACTCTGATTCAAAAAAAAAAAGGCAGGGAGATGTATGGGTCTGTGCTTCTTTGACTGTGTAGGTAAGAAAGTGCTTTGAAGTTGGGCTGACACCACAGAAATGACAGTTACCACAACTACCTGAGGTGAGGTGAAACTTTGTGTTGGTTTTTTTTTCAGGGTCTTGGTGACAAAGAAGCCTCCTCAGCAGTCACAACAGAGGAGCCCCTCACCACAGCTGGGGACGAAGAATTCGACAGCACTCCCCCTGAAGGGCCACCGCTCCCCTTACCCACCATGGCTTTTGAAAGAGGGGTCACCCCAGTAAGTGGCACAGAGGTGTGAAGACTTGCCAGCTCTTACAGGGGCGAGAAAGGAAACCTGGTTTGAGGGAGGGGCCAGCCTCTGGCTTTCTCAGGGGTGGTTTTTCATTTGAGTTTTTGTGGGGTGACTTCAAAGGTCCAGCCAGCACGAGTTTCTAGGATTTCTGGGCTGCAACTGTGGGACCTTAAGCAAACCCTTTAATTTCTCTGGGTCTCAGTTTCCTCATCTGTGAAAGAGGATAGCTGTGAGGTCACATCAGAGAATGTAGGTCAGAGAATGGAAAGTTCTGTACACACACATGGGGTTGTCACCATGTAAGGGCTGGAATTTCTTTTAGACATAGGAAACCCAGAGCTGTCCCTCCACTTGGGCTTGTGTGAAGCAGGGAATGCAGTTGCTGTTCAAATGTGGATATGTTTTTAAAGAAAAACATTCCACTGGTGACTAGCATGGGCTCTTCAGTTCCCTGAGCAACACCTGGTTGTACACCATTTGAAAGCTATGCCTCTGGCTGGGCGTGGTGGCTCACACCTGTAATCCTAGCACTTTGGGAGGCTGAGGCAGGAGGATTGCTTGAATGCAGGAGTTCAAGACCAGCCTGGGCAATATAGCAAGACCTCATCCCTAAAAAAAGCCCCCCAAACAAAACAAAGATTAGCCAGGCGTGGTGGCGTGCCCCTGTAATCCCAGCTACTCGGAAGGCTGAGGCTGGAGGATCACCTGAGTCCTGGAGGTCAAGGCTGTGATGAGCCGTGATGGTGCCACTGCACTCCAGCCTGGCAATAGAGTGAGATCTGAAAGAAAGGAAGGAAGAAAGGGAGGAAGGAAGGGAGGGAGGAAGGAAGGAAGGGAGGAAGGAAAAAAGAAAGGAAAGAAGGAAAGAAGCCACAACTCAAGCTACAGTCTCATGGTCCATTGGCCATGGAGCGCCAGGACTTACCTGTGAGGGGAAAGGATGTGGGCCGGGAGGTCCTGAATGCGACTTGCTCAAGGCCTCTTTCAGCAGTCATTATGTTGCGTATCGTCTATTTAATTAGAATCACTGTCCACTCATTCATGGCTTTGCTCATTGACTGGACACCGAGCAGCTCTGGGCGCTAGGTCCAGACACTAGCAGATAGGGATGAATATGGCTTCTTCCTGTCCCCAAGAAATTCACACTCAAGGGACAGGAAGTAAGCTATCTGAACTGACAGCAATTAGACACTCTGCTTTCCAAGTCTGTCTGATTCCTTTCACCCCACCCCTCTCTGGCGTGAGGTGAACGAACTCCATTTGTGGGAGGAAAGTGAGACTTGGAGAAGGGGAGTCACCTACCACTGCTGAGCCTCTATGAGGCAGAGCTGGGATTGGACTCTTGGCCTACTGGCCTGCAGAGCGTGTGCTCTTAAGCTTCTCCTAACTGAACTTCTCATCCGTGAGAGTGTGGTATGACAAAAAGACCCTACGCTGGGAGATGGGAAGCTGAGGTTTGCTTCTAGGGATGCCGCCAACTTGTGGTGGGCCCTGAACTTCCTTGTCATCATGTATAGGAAGAGGAAAATGATCAGGAACTCTGACTTTTAGCCCTGACTGCACATTAGAGATACCTGGGACACTTAAAACAATACATCCTAGTGGGCAGCCAGTTGTGGGACCCACCAACTCACACACTGTGACTTTCTAAAGAACGTTCTCTTGCTCTTCTGTGCCTTAGCCCAAGGTATATATGCAAATCACCAAGACCAAATCTCCTGAGTGATGTTGCAGTTCTTCTTTTTCTGTCTTTTTTTTTTTTAACTTTTTGTTATTAAAAAATCTAAAAAATGGTGGAGTGCAGGTGGCTCACACCTATAATCCCAGCACTTTGGGAGACCAAGGTAGGAGGATTGTTTGAGGCCAGGAGTTCGAGACCAGCCTAAGCAACATGACGAGACCACATCTCTACAAAAAATGTAAAAATTAGCCAGGCATGGTGGTACACATCTGTAGTCCTAGCCACTTGGGGGGCTGAGGCAGGAGATTCACTGGAGCCCAGCAGGTCGAGGTTGCAGTGAACCGTGATCGTGCCACTGCACTCCAACCTGAGCAACAGAGTGAGACACAGTTTCAAAAAAAAGGGAAATCTAGAAAACTGCACAGAAGGGCTTAGAATAGTATAATTAGCCCCCACAGACCCATCACTCAGTTTGAACAATTATCAACACTTTGCTAACCTTGCTTCCTCAGACATCATTTTTTTTGGAGGGAATGGGGAAGCTGGAACGTTTCAAAACCAATCTGTAACATCTTATCCTGTAACTTTTAAAATGTGTATTGCTAATAGAGTGATCTGGGACCTTTTTTATCTGTCATAGCCACTGTGTCATTTTCCAGCGAACAAAATTAACAATGGTTTCTTCATATTATCGCATACCTCTTTAAAGTTAGCTTGTTTGAATATGAATCCAAACAAGGTCTACTTCCACACTTGGTTGACATGTCTCTTAAATTTCTCTTAATCTCTGTTTGTCTCCCGCCTTCTTTTTTCTCTTTTGCTATTGATTTGTTGGAGAAACTGGGTCAGTTTCTTCCTTAGACCCTTTGTATTTTCTACTTTGAGTAGTCAGCCTGCTGAGGCTGGCTATGCTCGTGGGAGTGTGGAGGCTTTACTGCTCCTGGGAAACTCTTTGTCCACATGTATTAACAACCATAAAACTGCATGTTGCTGATCCAGAAACTTCTCTTTTATAGGAATTGATCCTAATGGAGATAGTCTGATATATATATATATTTTCTCCTCTTTTAATTTTTTTATTTTAAAGATGTAGGGTACAATTCAGCTGATTGTTTTAAAGGCATTCATTGTATTAAAGTATATTCAAGTAATGGAACATTATGTAACTATTAGGAGTTTTTAATGAGGAAGGAAATGCTTACCCTATACTGTTCAGTGAAAGAAACTGGTTATAAGCATACGTACAGTGTGTGGTCATAATTTTTAAAAATACGTGCAAAAACACTGGAAGGAAATATCCTCCGTAAATGTTGGAAATTGTTGCCTCACAATGGTGGAATTAGGGGCTGTTGTTAGGTTCTTAATACATTTTGATGTTTTCCACTATGGAGGCTGATGATTTTTGCCATCAATATTTTTAAAACTCTAAGAAGGGAGAGAGAGACAGAGAGAGAAAGAGAGAGAGAGAGAGAAGGGGAGAAAGGGAGATGTGAACACAAGGTGTTGCTTTTGCTCCTTAGCACATAGCTGATGAAGATAGACCGCCGCAAGTGACTGTGTTAGGGACCCGACAGAACAGTACCTGAAATAAATGCCCTAATTCTGAACAGATACCTTAAAGGCACAGTAGACTGTCAAGGCAGCATCCTCTTTAGAATCTCAAGGATCAGTTTGCATCTCAGAGTCACCCACGGCAGTATAACTTAGTGGGTTAGCATTCAAGCCTGGCTCTGTCACATATCTGTGAC